CTCTCTCTCTCTCTCTCTCTCTCTCTCTCTCTCTCTCTCTCTCTCTCTCTCTCTCTCTCTCTCTCTCTCTCTCGGGTGCACGTTGACAAACCTGAACATTATTTTTCTTTAATTTTCAACGGAATTTTTTTTTTGGGGGGTAACAATTTGTTGCCTGGTCTTTAAATAGCGACTGGGCGTTCTTTTCCCCGACATTCCGAATACACCGTTGTGGAATTGATTTCCCAGCAGGGAGGGTTTAGTAGTCACCCAATCATTCCATTTGCCAACAAAAAGCTATGTTGCCAACCCGCATTGTTGTCATATCAGTTTCCCATTAACTCCCTCGGTCCTGGTAGCTTGTCGGACAAGGGTACCCATGATCCCCAAGTAACTTAAGACAAATAGCTCTAACTTTAAAACCCCACTTTTTTGCAGCGTTACTGGAACTGGATCTAACCTTCAAAGCACCGAAAGTACAAAATGAATGAAACCAGTTTTCACACTTAGTCTGGCTGGGATGTGACGTTCTATCCTCTCGCCCTTTGTTGTCTTCCGGTTGGAGTGATAAAATATGCGGAGCAGGGTCTGGAAAATCAGCATAATTGAGGTATGTCAAGGATTTTTCGAAAAATTGAGTGTAGGGACATAGACAAAACTGAAATTCACAATGTGGTTATAGGATTAGTGAGAAGGGACTATAGCTGCGCGAATGAATTGGCGGGCTCTGCTTTCGAAGTTTCGTCTAATCGAAAAAGTATCTATTAACTTCCATGTGGGCTACTCGTCGTCTTTTCGAACGGAAAGGCGGATATGCACATGAGATCTCGTTTTCAAATTAAATCTCGGCGCCGCTCGTTACAAAGTCCAGGTCCATAATGAGATGTTGTCTTCCGAATCCTATGTGGCTTGAGGACGGAGAACTACGATATCACTGAAAAAGAGGAAGGTGTTGAAATCTTGTTAGAATACTGTTTGTAGGGTAGTCGGTTATCGCTTGCCGTGAGGGTAGGAGTGACTACGTAACCTCGTGTCAAGCATGGCTACCGTACCTCAATGATCGGGGTCTAACCAGCCTCCGTTATGTGAGGTGGGGCAGTTCTACTCTACATGCAGAGGACTAATGGGATCGAAAGCGCTGGAATCGGAGGGAATGTGGTGAGGCTCGAATCTAAAGCGGGGTTTGATGTTGAGATGTTATCCTTATACGGATTACACCACACCTCGTTGTATTTCACAAGGGGTTTAGAAATAATGACATGATAACTTATGTGGAATAGAATGAGATCATAACTTGGACGAGGGACTTTGAACGAATGCTTTCTCTCATGAATCATGGTTAGTTCAGGCTTTGTTTGAACTACCCCGGAGGTTAATTTTGAAAGACGCGTCAAGGGGTTAATCCTGACTTTTTTGGATAAATGGATGTATCAATCGAATCGGTTTTTGTTTTGGAACTAGTCGGAGGGCTTTCGATATCATTCTGAAAGACTGAATATTTTTTTTCGAGTGGATGCTTGTGGAATGATGCTAGGATCATACTGAAAAAACTTCTCTAAATTAAAAGCTTTCAGGGGCTAAGCCTGGGTTCAAGTTTTGATAAGGTTTCCCAGACGCAAAATCTGGTATCATTTCATCCACTTATGAGTTGTATTGATTTAAGGTTAGGTAGCAAATCTAGATATCTGGCAGACCAATTTTATCCAGGATATTCATTCCGGATGAAAATTTCAGACTAATCTTCGATATGGAAAATCCGGCTCTGCGTAAAATATGTTTTTTAACCCAAAAAAAAAAGAAAAAAAAAAATGAAAACAAAATATGTTGTTCATATTAATGATACGAATAACTTTTGGCTTAATGCTATCTTTAAAATCTTAACAAATATGAAGATAAAAATAAAACAGAAAAAATAATAATAATATTTAGATGAAAATTATAAAATGAATTAAGCATTCCCTCTCTAAACCTCTTCATTCCCTATCGTACCCTCTTTAAACCCTTTCATGCCTTATCAAGCTTTATGAAATAGGAACGTAGTTTTATTGTATTCTGCATGCATAATATCACTTCTTTTTTTTTTTACCATTTTTTTAATCATCCGGATTTTCGGATAATCCTAGCCCCCGATTATCCGGCCAGATAATCCGACCACATTATCCGGCCAGATAACCCGTGCTACCTAGATGTAAGGCTTTTGGAGGCTAAATCCGGTTTTGTTGTTGTATTGTTGTAAATTTGTGGAAAAGTTCCGGCTTAGTTCCGGACTATTGTTGAAATTGTGTTGTATTGTGATCGTTGTTTTCACAAGGAAATTTTATAAGGATCCTGATTTCTTATTTTGATGGTGGACGAAGGCGATGTCGTCCAATTGGGTCCGGGAATGCTGTGAGACCAAACACCCTTACAAGGATATCTGCTCAGGGTTTTTTAATATCGGACGATGTATGACCTTTTCGTTGAATTGAAGGACTTGATGAGACTGACGTTTGCTAGAAGTTCATGCAGACTAACCTATGTTCGAGAGATTAAAATTTTTCTAAATTTTAGTTCGAACGTTTGCGTCGTCCGAAAGTATTGGCGGTAGTCGGTAGTTTTTAGTTAGCCGCATAGAGGCGTGGATGTGGAAATGCTAAAATTAAACCTATCCTACCTAAAATAATGGCGCGCAGCTTAGCAGTCGCGCGCGGGGCGGGAGTGAAAGGAAACTTCTTTTTTCTTTTTCGGACCGCGAGATTTGACTCCGCGCCGGGGCCAGAGGGCGGACTCGCGACTAAAAGGTCAGGCCTACCGGACTAAGCCCCTATCGGGTAGGTTGCGGGGCATCGACCTAGATGTAGGTGAGGCAGGATTAAGCATGCCTAGGCC